CACTAGGGCACTAACCCTGGCAGCATTATAGGCTCACAGAGGGCAGCGTAGGAGCAGGGCCAGTGAGGAGGGCAGCATGTTTGGCCTTGACTGAGGGTCAGGTATGGGAAATAACTTCAAAGAACCATTAGAACTTGTTCCCGTTGGAGGGAAGGGAGAAACTTGCCTGGGATTTGGGGCCTGAGGTGGGGACTCCTGGAGGAACAGCAGGTTTGAGATGTGGAGCTTGGAGACAGGGTCTCCACTTGTAGTCCAGGCTGGCCTCAAATTAGCAGAGATCCTCCTGCCTCAGCCTCTCAAATGTTGGGATTACAGGTGTGCACCACTAGGCCTGGCTCATTTTAAGTGTGTTTTGATGAACAGAAGCTTTTTAGTAAAGTCCTACTTAGCCAGTTTTTCTTTCGGTGGGGAACGGTACATGTGCACCTGTAAGAATTCCCTGCCTAGCCCAGGGTCATGAAGATTTTCTCTTAGGTGGAGGGGACACCAAGTTGGGTGCTTTTTTTGTTTTGTTTTGTACCAGGAATTGAACTCAGGACCTTGCATTTGCCAGGCAGGCTTGGTGCCACTGAGCTACATCCCCGGTCTTGTGTTAGGTTTTGGACAGGCTGCTCTTGAGAACTCAGCCTGGACACTGGGTGTCCCTGGGGAGAGTATCTGACTCAGACTCGAACCCCTTCCAAGCTAAGCAGGGAGGGTAGGGCCCAAAAGGCCCAGAAAGCAGGACCAGAACGGGGAGGGACATGAGCATGGGCTTCTGGGAGTAGGTGGCCACTGGTCAGCATCCGGAACGACTTCCTGGACCAGCTGAAGGCCGAGCCTCTTGTCACCACCTGCGGCTCCCTGACTTCCGCCCCTCACCCTCCCTCCCAGGTCAAGCTCCTCCAGCGCCAGGCGCATGCTACGGCCTCACTGTTCTTCAGTGACACCACTTCCCCACGCCATTAGGCTCCCCTCATCCTCTTTATCAGTGAGCAGTGGGCAGTAAAGATACTTCCATTTTGAGCTGGGCGTGGTGGCACACACCTGTAGTCCCAGCACTCTGGAGGCTGAGGCAGAAGGATCACTGGGAGTTCATGGCCAGCCTGAACTACATAGTCCTTGTCTCAATAAACCAAGAAACAAAAAAATCTGAAAATGAAGATTGAAGGTTCCGTGTTTCCTGAAGGGTGGGTTTGCCCATGGCCCCCTCAAAAACACCCGTGCAGTGCATCCAGAGGGTCCTGAGCCAGGACCTGGGGCAGCCCCCGTCCCGCCCCAGGGTTCACTGAAGCTTAGGAGCCACCAAGCTTCCCATGATGAGAAGTGGGCCAGACCTGGTCCAGGAGATTCCCCCAAGTGGCACATCGCCTGGGTCGGGGCCCTCACTGCACATCGCGGTCACCCAGGAGTGTTGTTTTGTATAAACATCACTGGGCAGATGAACCACACCGGGCATGACGTGCCACCTACGCAGGTCCTTGCTAAGGGTCTCGGTGATTCCGAGGGGCGCTGAGGAAGAAGGCCAGGCTGTGAGGTGGGCAGGTGCGGAGAACAGTTTCCGAGCCTGGGGGCGGGAGACCGGAAAGGACTCAGTGCAGGAATTCAAATTTTTCCTTTTCGGATGGAGATGGAAGGCGTTCCTGGTGTTTTCAGCAATAGCCACACTGGTTTGCCGAGCTCCTCCCGTCTTCTCTTCGGGGGCCCTGAAACTTGAGAGGGCCTGCATGCCTGAATCTGAATGGCGGTCCCTGCCGCCGGCCTGGAGGGTGGGGGAGGGGCTGCTTTCTCCTGGCCCACACCTTCCCTTGGTGTAGACCTGACGCCGCCTTCCAGGGCCTGCTTTCTAAAACAGTTTCAACATCCTAAAGCACACTTGTCATAAGGTTCCTCCTGCCTCTCAAGTGTTACCCTCTCCTGACTTCCTTTGATCTTATCTGTAATATTGAGCAGATATTTGTAGTCCATTAGGCTGATTAGGCAACTGAGCTCCAGAGAAGCCATCACTGTAACACCCCGCAGGTCAGGACCCATGATCTGCCTGGTGTGGGCTGAGTCCTAGGGTCAGAGCAGCCACCCCTGTGGTATCATCTCTGCTCCCTCCCCAGCCCCCCAGACTCACCTGCAGGTGCAGCCTCAGCAGTTAGGGGTCGGTGGAAGAAAGGGATGGGGAACGATTTTCGAGCAGTTCTAGAGCTCAGGAGAGGGAAGGCAGCGGGGCGAGTGGAAAGGGGGTCGCTGGAGCCTGCCGTGGACCAAGGCTGCCAAGTGTACATGCCCTACTATTAGGGCAGCAGGGCTGACCGGGAGAGGGCTGCCGGGAGTGAGGGGGCCCATGAGGTGGCGGCAGTGAGTCCGTGAAGCAGGAAGGACTGGCCTTCTAGCAGGTTCCTCTCCAGCGTGTGTGCAGAGGCCATGCCACTGGCCCTCCCTAGCAGATGTGCCTGTGGCCTTCCCAACGCTTCTCATCTCTTCCCTTCATCTGTGGGGAGCTAATGCAGTGATAAGTGACCTCCACATCCGGCCCTTCCTGCCTGGAGGTCGAGCCCACTCCTGGTACACCCTTGTTCACCTCCCTTTGAATCTTCCTGTCTTACTGATCCGAGCCGCCTCTGATTTCCCTCAGCACTTGTAGGAAGCATCGCTACCACATAATTTACCATCTAATTGCATGCTGTCTTGAATGAGGGCTGTGGTTTATGTGTGGTGGGTCTTGGGTACACAGTTCGGCTGTGAGTAACCGAGGCACAGACACCCATCTCTTCCACCTTCTCTTGCTCCCCGAAGTCCTCTCCCAGCTGGCCCGGCCATGGCAGCTGCTCAGGACTTACATCCTGGGGGCCTGGGGGTGGGTGTGTTGTGGGCAGGCTTACAGGTAGGCTCCAGGAAACTAACCTGGCCAGTGGGGGTGGGGCGCCTCCACACCAGGGCAGTCCCCCAAATGCTTCCCCTCGCCCCAGCCTAGGGAGGCAGCGGCCACGTGTTGCAGGGCCCAGGTTTGGGCTGGTGGCACAGAGCCTGACTAGACCACACACTGCGGTTGCCATGGTGACCCTTTTGCTCCACTTTGGGCAGAGGATGGATTCCTCTTTCAGCCCAATTCATCTGCCTGGGCTGCCTCGTTGCATGCTGGGAACCAGACTCCCCAGCCCCCTGGCTTCCTCTTTCTGCCATAGGGGACAGCTTGTCCAGTGCTTCGGTTTTAAGTCATGACCCAGTATCAGACAACAGCATGTACTGACTTGAAAGGAGAACAGGAGGGACAGGCCCAGGAGGTGGGGCAGTTGGCCTGGCACATGTGTACTGACGTGAGGAAGCGCACCTCCGGATGTCCTCCTCTTCACCCCTCCTCCTCTCCAGACCACTTCCTCTGCCGCTAGTGGCTCTAACCCTTTGGGATAGCAGTCCTCTAGGCCTCACTTGCCTCATCTGTAACAACCACCCAGGGTGCCCACACCTGGCTGGCATCGGAGTTACCTAGGGAATCCTAGACCCCAACCCTGAGTCTGCTGATCCATGTAGGTAGGGCCCAGGAATCTGTAGTTTTTAAATGCTCTTTGGGTGGTCTTGATGCATTCAAATCTTGGGAAGTTTGAGGTTCTCCTGACACAAGGGCTTGTAGAGCCCCATGGAAAGAAAACAATCTACCTGGTGCTGAGGATCGATTGGCCTTTCTGGGCTTCCAGGAGCTGCTGGAGCCCAGCAGGTTAGTCTTGTCAGGAAGTGGGTGTTTTCTGGTCATGCTGGCTAAGACAAGCCCTGGCCCCCCTTCCCTCAGGAGGAGCCAGGAGTGAGAGAATGACTGGAAAGGGGGATGTTACCATAACAACCAGCTCCAGGCAGAGGCTCCCTTCCAGGGGCTGGTACTTTACCCTAGTCATGATGGTTTCCATGGAGATGAGGTTGAGGGACAGGGGAACATTTGCCCCACTTAGAACATCAGTGAGGAGCTGCCAGAAGGTAGCACACATCTCGGTGGGAGTCTTGGACCCGTCCACTTAAGAGTCTCCAGCTTGGCCTCTGCGCTCCGGTGTACGTCTGACACCTTCCCCTGCTCAGTTGCTCTCTCTCTGGCTGTCTCCTTAGCAACAAGTCCTGCAAACTCCATGCTGTTGGCTCCAGGGCTATTTTTAGCTTTGCTGCCAGCAGCCCAGTCCTGGTCATTTGCTTACCTTCATTTGGATGGCAGAGGAATAGGAAAATGAAGATCCCTGGCTGCTTTGAGGAGACCTGGACCCAGGTCTCTTGACAACCATTAGAATGTCTGCTGTAGAAAGTATCCATGCCCGGCCTGGAGCTTGGGTGGTAGATTTGGGATGGGGTTTTTGAGACCATTCAGTTCAGCAAATACTGCTTTCATCCTCCATTATGTGCAAAGTGCTCGGTCCAAGCTTCCATATGTGAGGCTAAGTAAGGCCAGTCCTGGCCCTCCAGGAATTTTTAATCTCGTGGAGATGATGAATACACGATCCCCTTCCCACAGGTAAAGAAGACTCGCAGGTCTAGAAGAAGACTGAGGGAGGGAGGGAAGAGACAGGGTGCAAGGTAAGAGATAGCATGAGGGGAGTAAGGGTGAGAGGGACCAGAGCAGCCCTGTCCAAACGACATTCTGTAATGATGGAACTGGCCTATAATCTGTGATGTGCAGCCCCAGCCACATGTGGCTTTCAGATACTTGGAATATGGCTAATACAACTGAACTGGACTCTAATTTTTATTTTATTTTAGTGTTTTGAGAAAAGATCTCGCTATTCGTTCAGGCTGGCCTTGAACTCACATCGATCCTCCTGCCTCAGCCTCCCGAGTGCCGGGATTACAGGTGTGCACCACCATGCCCGGCAAATTTTAATTAATTAATTTATTTATTTATTTATTTTTATGGTACCAGGGGATCGAACTCGGGTCCTTGCACTTGCGAGGCAGGCGGCGGAACCACTGAGCTAAATCCCCGGCCCAAATTTTAATTAATTTAAATAGCCACATGCAGGGTTGAGGATTTAGCTCAGTGGCACTGCGCCTGCCTTGCAAGTGCAAGGTCCTGAGTTCAATCCCTGGTACCTAAAAAAAAAAAAAAAGAAGAAAAATAGCCACATGCAGCCTAGCAGCTACCTCAGTGGACAGGGCAGGGCTAGAGAAACTTTCTTGGGGGAAGTAATTGGTGAACTGATGTAGCAGGACGGGTAGGATGGGGGCTGGTGGAAGTTGAGGGAACGGCATGAGGAACAGCAGGTGGGTTGCTGAGCACGGGCTGTGCATGTATCCCCGAGGCTTCCAGGTTTGTGGGAGCCCTGGATGAAACACAGATACTCAGTTGGCACTGAGGCTTCTGAGCTGTAGGCGGAAGGAGGACAGGCTCAGAGTAGACACCCCCACTGACTGTGTGGCCTTTTGTCTGGACTGATCTCCCTGGTGGGAGGCCGGTGATGTGTGCAGCAGATGCCTTGATTTGCAGGTGGCTTCACAGGGCTGTGGCTTCTCTGCCTTTGAGTGAGGGGACTTGGGTGGTAATGGGTGGCAGCACTCACCCTGCCAGGATGGCATTATATGAGAAGACACGCTAGAGTGCTGAACTTGTAGTTAAAACTAGTCAAGCAGGCATGACTGTTGCCCCCAGACCTTTAGGTGTTACCGCTTTTTGGTGGGGTCTGGGGCCTAGGGTCTCACCTCAGTTCTGTAGGACTGGAAAGCCAAGTCTGCACACTTGTGATTACGCTCGTAGTTAAGAAGGGTGAAGTACACCAGAGGGTGAAGCGACCAACTTCTAACAGGACGAGTCCTTTTTAGAAGGGTCGATCACAACACTTGCTGTGTTGTTTTCTGGCAACTCACTGGTTGGAGAGTAACTGGAGAATGTAATCAGAATTAGACATGTGCTTGAGGAGTATGGGGTTGGGGCTGGGTCAGGTGACCCCAGAGGCGTCTTGATCAGCGTTGATGGCCTGTTGAGTTACTGCCGGCTGCCTGCCAGACAGAAATGCACCCTGCCTGTGAGGTTACCCTCTGTTGGGCCACGCTGGCCCCTTCTCTCCAGCACCTCTTGTAGGCTCTTGACATTCCCATCTTCTTTTCATCCAGGAGTTCCTCCTTTTAGCATCCTCTGAAAGCAACTCCAAGAACAGAGCTTGTTTTACACAGGGCTTCAGTTTTTAAGTTGACTATCTTTATCCCAGTCAAAAAACCTACCCCAGGAACTACCCAGGGGAGGTTACTTAGCAAGGCCAAACCCATCTGTAACCTGAGGGTTGTTGAAGTTTACCGTTTTATCTGCCCTGCATTTTTACTAAAGTCACTTATTTATCCTAGATCTTGGAACCTCTTCTGCTTTGGGGTCTGTGTCCACTGACCAGAAAAAGACACATCACTGGTTACATGCCTCATAATCTGTGAAAGGGTAGTGTTTCCTGTCTGCCTGGCCATGGGACAGGCAAGATGCCCTAGGTTGGTTAGATGACACCTTTGAGTCTGGACTTTCTTCTGCTTAAGTCAGGAAGTTGTGCAGAGAAGAAAACAAATAATAGTAATACTTCTTTTTTCAGTACTGGGGATTGAGCTACAGCCCTGGCCCACCACACTCCTACCCTTACATTTTTGGGGCTTTTTTTGAGATAGGGTCTGTGTAGTCCAGGCTGCCCTCATACTCACAGCAGTCCTCCTGCCTCAGCCTCCTGAGTGTGGGGTTACAGGTGTGTGCCACCACACTCTGGCCTGAGAAACTTCCTCTGGAGAGGCGGCCTGGGGTGTGGTGCAAGCTAGCCTGTGACAGGGCCTGGGTGCTGGGGAGACGGCGCGGTGGGGCAAGAGCTAAGCAAGCCATTGACGCTTCTTACCGCTCTGCGGCAGCCAAGGTGCAAATTCAGGGTTCCCTGTCCCCCGCCCCAGCCCCAGAGATGGAATCCAGGACTTTGCAAATGCTAGCCACATTCCCTGCCTTGCATCTACACTCCAGCCCCACGTTCAGAGCTGCTCTGCCCAGCTCAGGGGTCTCCTGAAAAGCTACCCCAAGCAGTTACCTTGACTGATCTGCAAGATGAGTTGGGGCGGAAGCCAGCCTGTGTTTTTTCAGGATGGCTCCTTCTTGTGTGTGCATCCAGGGTTGGCAGGGACGTTTATGTCTTGTCTGCCAGTTCTCTCCGGAGAAGGCCACCGGATTTGGATTCCTCTCCTCTCAGGGGCTCTCCTGCTCTGATGTCCCAGCTGCCTGTGGAGTTGGTTCTCTGGTTGTCCCCAGGGCGCTGGTCTGCAGGGAGCTGATGTCATCGCTGATTTGCAGAAGAGAACAGATTTCTTGGGGTTAAGAGGCTGTGTCAAGGTCATGGTGGTGGACTCAGAACTCAAGTCCAGATCTTCTGACAAGAGGGCCAAACAGCCTTCTCCTGCTGAGAGCATTCACCTTCAGTTCCCGCTGTCCTTTCTAATTCATCAGGCTTACTCGAGCCGGCCATTCTCTCTAAAATACCCATTCATCTTGTCAGAAGAGCCCCGCCCTTGTTCTTCACTGCTAGAGAATATATCCCTTGGCACTCTGACCCCTTCCCCTCGTCCAGTCTTTTCTCTGTGCTCTTTAGTTTCAGTCAAATGGTGCAAAGGTGGAGGTGAGGGATTCCTCCTCCTCTCTCCTAGTATCTTACCTAACTGAACTCCTTCCAAATCCCATTCATCATCTGACCTCTTTAACCTCATTTATCACTCACACCACTGCCATCTTCATGGTATTTGTGCTACAGTGGTGGCTTCAGTTTTGTTGTTTTTGTCGGTACTGGGGATTGAACCCAGGGCCTTTGCTACATCCCTGCCCTTATCTTTTTATTTATTATTTTATTTTGGGATAGGGTCTCCCCAAGTGGCTGAGTTGCCCAGGCCAGGCTGGAACTTGTGATTCTCCTGCCTCAGCCTCCGAGAGTGCTGGGATTACAGGCGTGGGACACCATGCCGGCTTTCCGAGGTCTTCATATCTCTCCAAATCCAGTGGAGTCTGTCTACTCCCTGAGGGCAGGGCCCAGAATGTGTTCGGTGTCTGATGCCTCCACCCACCTAAGGGACAGCGGTGGAAGGGGACTGTCCGCCGCGGGGACCGAGCCTGCTTCTGGAGGCCTCAGGAGCCGTAAAGTCGTCCTGAGCCGCCCGGACCGCGCTGGGCACGAAGGCACTGCTGTCCCCGTGAAGAAGCGTCCTCATCCCCAGCCTTGCACCCTGAACGTGAGATCCTGTGCTCCACAGGAGCCAGCGTGACCGGCCCCCGGCCCCGACGTGGCCAGAGAGGGCTCCGCAGCGTCTCAGTCGGCCTTGGCGAGGCCCAGCTCCCTGTCCACCTGGGCCAGATCGGCCCTCGTTTGGGAGCTGGCGGTTTCCGTCGGGCGCCTTCTGTCCGCCTCCGCCTATACGCTCTGCGTTTCCCTAAACTCCTGGCCCGCGCCTCTTATCTGTAAGGTTTCTCTCTTCCTTGCTTTGGTCGTGCTTCTGCGGAACTCACTTTCTCCAACTTTCTCCTGACTCTCCCAGACTCTCCGGAAGGCTCCGCTCCCGCCCCCCGGGGACGCTGGGGTCCCCGGGGCCCGCAGCCGCACCCCGGCCCGGCGCCCTCCTCCCCGACGCCCGCGGGCTCCCCGCCTCGCTCGGGGCCCGCGCTAATCGCCTCCGGAGTCGCGGAGAGGGGGCAGGGCGAGCCGGCCGGGGCGGGGCGCTGGGAACGGGCGCAGGCCGGCCTCACCCCCGGGCCTCCGCGCCCCTCGGACCCGGAGAGGGGCTGGCCCGCCGCCAGCGTCGGAGGCCGGCCCCCTCCCCCGGCCCGTGCGCAGCCAACCAGGCCCTCCAGCGGGGCCCACGTGACCTGGAGTTCTAGACAAAGAACTGTTCCCTCCCCCCCACCGCCCCCTCCCCCTCTCTGGCCCCCTCCGCCCCCAGCCCCATCGCCCCCTTCCCCTCCCCCAGCCGGGCAGCTACTTACAGAGCTTCAGGGCCGGGGCTCACACCTGAGCCGGACCGCAGAGGGGCTGCACCTGGCCTTATGGGTAGGTTCCTGGACGGAGCCCTGGGGAGACTGGGGGCGGGGAGGCGGCCGGGCCGGTGGGAGGATCCCGGCAGCCCTCAGTGTTTGAAAAGAGTCAAGTATGCCTCCCCGGCCCGCAGCAGCTGCAGCCGCCCCGGCCCGCCTGAGTTCTGAAGATGCTGATTTAGTGCCATCCTACCCACTGCTGCTCAGGAGCCCAGGCCCCACTCCTCACCGAGCTCCAGTGGCACCCGGCGCCCTCCGGGGACAGGAAGAGCAGTCCCGGCAGTGGTAACTGCAGGCTGGGGAGCAGGCGGCCTGCTGAGGGCAGCTGGCGACCCGGAGTCGGGTTTGAAGCAGTGTGGGCCGAGCTGCTGGCAGATGGGCGCTTGGCAGTTAGTTCCCCGTTGACCTGCGCGCCTGGCTGGGAGACCGTGCTGCCCTCAGGGCCCTGCCTGCCCGCGCCTCTTGAGAGGGACAGCTTTCTCTCTTGCGAGTTCCTGGGAGCCACTGGGCAAGCAGCCAGAAAGAAGTGTTAGGGGTGCGAGGGAGCAGTGTGGCCCCGACAGGGCCGCGGGAGCAGCTCGATGCCCTGTGACACCCCGGCAGCCCAAGGCCGCGTGGGCTCGGGGCGGTGGCGCTCTGACCTCTGACCTTTGGGGTGGGAGTTGCAGGGGGACGGGAGGCGGGCCGCTGCCCGAGGAGGTGGAACTGGATGGGGAGGCTGTCTCAGTGGAGTGAGCAGTGGCTTTCCCTGCCAAGTGGCTCCCTTGAGCTGGCGGTAGTGGGCAGAGTATGAAGGCCCAGGTGGACCCTGCCCCGTCTCTCATCCCCTCTAGGGGAGAGGAGCCTTCAGCCCAACTACGGGAGTCCCGAGTTTAACCCTTCCCTGGCCTATTGTTCGCCTGGGAAGAAGGGTAGGAATGGTGCAGGGGAAGGGCACCTCCCCCACGGGCTGCCCCCTGCCGCTCACCCCCTCTTGCGGCCCCGTCCAGGTGGGGGCCCCATCCTCTGCCAGCCCAGACCATGCTGGGCGCGCGTTCCGCGCCAAGCAGGGTGGGGATGCGGAGCAGCAATCAGCAGCGGCATCTGACAAGCAGGGGGAAGTTGTGGGAGAAGAAGAATTTCAGGAACTGCCGAGGAGGGGGTGAAGAGAGAGACAAAGGGCCTGTGGGGGAGTAATGAAGGTGGTAGCAGGCACGACTCCTTTCTAGACCTGGGGGCTGGTGAGCAGCCCGCGCCCACCGGCTGCTGCTTGCTGTGGAAGTGGTAGCAGGCGTGCCCTCCTGCCCTGTGTCTCCTGCACGCCTTGTCAGGCCTGCATGCAGGGTCTTTGGGGCATCCACGGCAGCGGCCTCATCTGAGTCGTTTACCCCTGCCTGGAGTTGGAAGCAGGCATGGTGGAAGTAAGCAGACAGCTAGGCAGGGATTTATCTGCGCATGTAACTGGTGCTGTTAATGATCCCAGGAGAGGAGCTGGCTTCCGGGAGAAGGGAGCCCCCAGCCCTGATGCGGAGCCTGGAGCACCTACTTGGGGGCGGGGATGATGGCTGATTGATGGGAGTAAGGAAAGGCCAAAGGCCTGGCCAGGTGAGGGTGGGGTGGGGGAAGGTTGAGCAGTTCTGTGAGGTTGAGCTTATTTTTCCAGCTGTTGGTAGGCGGGGTGCAAAGGATACTTTATCCGATTTTAGAATTTGTTGAGTCAGAGAAAGAGCTAGGATAATCGCCACAGGAAACAAATTCGGTTTTGTGCCAGGAGGGAAAGTCTTGAAGACTGAGTGAATTAAACTATCTACCAATCAGTACGTTAGCTGGAACCCTTGGGCTTGGGATCATTGACACACAGGGTTTGGGAGAATCCTTGGAATCCTTGAGATTTGTATGTCAGGTTCTGAAATGGGCTGGGAAGGAGGACCAGAAATACGCAATTCAAATGCCCTTTTAGGCTGGAGCAACTCCAGAGAGAATGCACACGACCAGTCAGCCACCTCTTTTGGCCCAGCTGAACCAACCAGGGCCATGGATGTTCTATGTTCTGGTTTGGAGCTCTTTCTTACACTACCAGTTGCTTTCTGATTTTTTTTTTTTTTTTAATACTGAGGATTTGCTTTGTAGCTCAAAATTCTTATGGAAAGCTGTCTATGAGAAGGCATAGTGAATGGGATTTGGGGGAGCTGAGGATGTATCTCAGGGATAGAGCGTCTGCTTAGCCTGTGGAGGCCCTGGGTTCCATTCCTAAAACCAAAAAGCTTTTTTCTGAATCTGTCATGGTGGAAATGGGAACAGAGCCTTGAAATTTGAGGGCCATGCATCCTAGATTCAGTGTTGGGGGTTAAGTTGAATGAGTCTCAGAACTAAGTATCAGGGGTTTCATTCTCCTTTATAGGGATCCTGGAGCAGGTTTTGAGGAGAAATGGGCACATGGATCATAGTCTCAAAGACAAGTGTGATGGGTGAAAGTGGAAGAACGGGGGTTTGGATTACTGACTTCCTGGTGCCATGGCAGAGAGAGTGCCTGGCCTTTGTGTACAGATCTGAAAGGTGCATGCAGAAGGTGACAGCACATTGGCTGGAACCCTGAGCACTCTGGAATGGCGGGAGCAGGCAGGCTCTTGTGGAACTTTCTGTGATGTTGGAGCAGATGTGGGAGCTGTGCATATTAAATCAGACATCACAGAACTGGAAACTAGGAAGGGATTGACTGGCCAAGAAAATGGTGAAGGAAAAGATGAGCCCTCCCTTTCTTGATTGAGAAGAATGGGGGGGCAATATCTATGGCTGGACAATGGTGCGTGATTAATATTTGAATGGAATTCTCGTTTTCAGATCGGAGGGCAGGCACCTGCTGTCTCCAGCAGGCTGAGAAGATCAGGCGGGGGAAGAGGGTGCTCTGAGAGGCAGGAAAGGTGGCTGAAGTGGAGCCAGGTGTTCTTCGTTCACCTGTCGCCCTCAGCTGTTCCCTTTTCCAAGGCAGGCCAGTCTGATCTCCCTGGCCCCTTTACCTCCCCACATCACCACCTCCAGACCACACAGGGTGGGGCACAGCCCCTGAGCCCTGCCAGTGTCCAGAGGGGTCAAGGTGGTGGTTGTTTCTTGTCTCCTCAGGCTGAGAAGAAAGCCAAGGTAATTGCAGTAATGAACGCTGTGGAAGAAAACCAGGGCTCTGGGGAGTCACAGAAGGTGGAGGAGGCCAGCCCTCCCGCTGTGCAGCAGCCCACTGACCCTGCCTCCCCCACTGTGGCCACCACCCCTGAGCCTGTGGGGGCTGATGCTGGGGACAAGAATGCCACCAAAGCAGCTGATGATGAGCCAGAGTATGAGGTGAGCGGCTTGCTTCTTCACCGGCCTTGTCCGGCCCTTCCCGGGGCCTGCATTGCCAGCTCCTCCAGTCCTGCTCTCCACCTCCCCCTGGCCGCTCGCTCTCTCCACCTGACCCTGGGCCTCTTCATCTCCCCAACTTTGCTGTCCCCCTCCGTTCACGTGGAGCTCTCTCGGCTGTCTGCCCCCAGAGGCTCAGGGCTGGGGTTCCCATGGGGGGCCCAGGGAGGCAGGGCCTCATGACCATCATGTAATGATTTCTGCTCCTTGGGGCTCCAGGACGGCCGGGGCTTTGGCATTGGGGAGCTGGTGTGGGGGAAACTGCGGGGCTTCTCCTGGTGGCCAGGCCGTATTGTGTCCTGGTGGATGACGGGCCGGAGCCGAGCAGCTGAAGGCACCCGCTGGGTCATGTGGTTCGGAGACGGCAAGTTTTCGGTGGTAAGTTGTGGCTTTGCCTGCAGGTGTGGAGGGGCGTCCTTGGGGCACCTGGACTTGGGTGGTAGATGTGGCAGCTGTGGGCTCGGCTCACGCTCCTGCGTGTGCGGAGTGGAGAAAGCCCCGGATGGTTAGCTTGTAGCCCCAGCTCGGAGAGCCGCCCCCTTCCTGCTCTTGGTCTGGGCCCCTCCCTCACCCTGCCCGTATTGGTGCTTCTGGTCCTGTAAGAGCCCAGGTGGACTCCCAGTGTTCCCAACCCCTGACAGTTGGGAGGTAGGGGGTGTGAGAGTGCGAGGAGCAAAGGAGACTGCTCATCCCCCAGGTGTGTGTGGAGAAGCTGATGCCGCTGAGCTCCTTCTGCAGTGCGTTCCACCAGGCTACCTACAACAAGCAGCCCATGTATCGGAAGGCCATCTACGAAGTGCTGCAGGTGAGCCGTCCCCTACCTGCCGCAGCTCGGAGGAGAGGGCCAAGCCCTGGGCCGCTGGGAGGCCTGGAGGCCGGAGTCTTCAGGGAGAGAGTTCTTTCCTCCCAGCTTTCGTCACCCTTTCTGCGCCGTGGCTCCTGACGATCTCTTCTCACTCCCTGCCCCTCCCTGCCTTGGCTGTTCTCAGTCGGGCCTCTCGTTCGATCCAGCCTGCCCTGACTCCTGCTCCTGCGTGTTGCCCCCAGGTGGCCAGCAGCCGTGCAGGGAAGCTGTTCCCAGCCTGCCATGACAATGACGAGAGCGACACTGCTAAGGCCGTGGAGGTGCAGAACAAGCAGATGATCGAATGGGCCCTCGGAGGGTTCCAGCCCTCTGGCCCCAAGGGCCTGGAGCCACCAGAAGGTAAATGCAGATTCCAGCCAAGTCTCCTGGAATCCCTACTGTCCGGGGCTGGGAAAGCCATGCTTGGGAAGGGCTGCTGAGGTTCCACAGAGGGCTCCCCATGGGCTCAGCGTGGTGCTGCTCTGGGCCTCCAGAATGACCTGTTCTGTAGCTTCCTGGGACCCAGGAATTGGGAGGTAGGAGCCCGTAGGGGACTAAGTGTACCCCACTGTAGGTGGCACAGAAGGGGAGCCGGGGTTCTGTGTCTGCCTGCAACTGACCTGGTCACCTGCCTTCTGGTGCAGAGGAGAAGAATCCCTACAAGGAAGTTTATACAGACATGTGGGTTGAGCCTGAGGCGGCTGCTTATGCACCACCTCCTCCAGCCAAAAAGCCACGGAAGAGCACAACTGAGAAGCCCAAAGTTAAGGAGATTATTGATGAACGCACAAGAGGTAGGTGGCCTGCTCTGGAGAGTGACATTGGACCTCCCAGGGGGTAGGCATGGCCTGGGCAGCCTCCTGATGCACATGTTCCTCCTGCTGCAGAGCGGCTGGTGTACGAGGTGCGGCAGAAGTGCCGGAACATCGAAGGTGAGTCTGTCGCCTGAGAGCCAGGGTGCTCCTAGCATAGGCAGGAGAACCTGGCTCCCTGAGTAGCAAAAGCATGGTGTGTCCTTGGCACAGGGTCTTAGGAAAGTTGGAATACCATAGGCCCAGGGGCCCTCAGCGCTCCGTGTGGGACCTTTTTGCACGGCCCTCTGTCAGCCTGTTTCACACACCATCTGTCTTCCCAGTGCCACGGCTTTGCTTTCCCATCAGTGCCAAGCCCTGGCCTTTGGGGGTGGGGACTGTTCCAGGGATACCTGCAGAGCCCAGCTCGGGGCCCTGTTCTCACAAGTGGGCTCTTGTCATTGGGTTGTCTGTTTCTGGATGGTGGCATTGCTAATCTGAGAGACAGATGGGCTTTTGAGGCTGGGGGCATGTTGTACCCACCCAGGCTTACTGCCTGCCTCTTTGGCTGCCGCCCTGATGCCCCCTTTCCGGAACTTCTGTGGGGCTCTGGTAATGCTCACTGCAGTCATGCTGCTTTGCAGACATTTGTATATCGTGTGGGAGCCTCAACGTCACCCTGGAGCACCCTCTCTTCATTGGTGGAATGTGCCAGAACTGCAAGGTAAGGGGACCACCCCCCCGCCGCCCCAGCTCAGAGGAGGATACCTGGCAGGAGTGCAGCTGGACCTCCTGCTTACTTTAGAAGGAGTCCAGGCTGAGTGGCCCCCAGGCCCCAAGCTTTTGGCTTGCTGTTTGTGTCCTAGAAGATCCTCCCCAGCTCTTTGTAGGCCCAGCTGTGGGCAAGGGGCAGGGCTTATAACTGCACAGCCTACGTGTGAGGGTGGGGATCAAAGAGGAGGGTCAGGACCAGCTCACTGATAGGTGAGCCGCTGCGCCCCAGGACCCCTAGGAGGAAACTTGGTGGAGGGCAGCTCCCTTCTCAGATCTGGGTTTGGGCCTGAGCCTGGATGCCGAGGCCTTTCTCCAGGGCTGTGTCAGGGTACCACCAGGCTGCTCCAGAGCCACCTCTCTTTGGCGTGCTGGGCCATGCCCTGGCGGTCTCTGACCCTCTGCCCTTGCCTAGAACTGCTTCCTGGAGTGTGCATACCAATACGATGACGATGGCTACCAGTCCTACTGCACCATCTGCTGTGGGGGACGTGAGGTGCTCATGTGCGGGAACAACAACTGCTGCAGGTGAGGGCTCTGGCCCGGGCCCCTGGCACCTGCCCTGCTCTGTGCCCTGGGCTGTGCACCGCCGCTCCAGGTTGCACTGTGGGCCTCGCGCACCGGCCTGGGATGTCTCCGCTCACTGGGCCTCCTCCCAGGTGCTTCTGTGTGGAGTGCGTGGATCTCTTGGTGGGGCCCGGGGCCGCCCAGGCAGCCATAAAGGAAGACCCTTGGAACTGCTACATGTGCGGGCACAGAGGCACCTACGGGCTGCTGCGCCGGCGGGAAGACTGGCCCTCCCGGCTCCAGATGTTCTTCGCCAATAACCACGACCAGGAGTTTGTGAGTGCTGGGCCTTAGGGCACGTCCTCCCGTGCTCGCTCCTCCGTGAGGCGAGACTTAGTCCGAGAGAGGGCGTCTCGGCATCATGGGGCCTGCGCAGAGAGCAGGGGTGCTCCAGTCCTGTGTGGGGTTGTGCTGACCAAGAAGGGAGGGCCAGTCCAGGGCAGCATCTGGACAACGCCCCTGCACATTGCCTGACTGGCTGTGCTCCCTGCTTAGGACCCTCCAAAGGTTTATCCGCCTGTCCCAGCCGAGAAGAGGAAGCCCATCCGGGTGCTATCTCTCTTTGATGGAATCGCTACTGGTGAGTGCCATGGGTCCCAAGAGTGCTGGCCTCTTTGTCCTAGACAGGGGAGCTCTGTGTGGGCACGTGCAACTCTGGCAAAACAAAATGACTGTGGGCATCACAATAAAATATACTCTAAAGAGGAAGTTTTTATAGCTAGGTGGGGTTGCTACATCTGTAATCCCAGCAACTCAGAAGGCTGAGGCAGGAGGATCACAAGTTCAAACCGGCCTGGGCAACTTAGTGAGACCCTGTGTCAGAGTAAAAATAAAAAGGTAGGGCTGGGCATGGTGGTGTACACCTGTAGTCCCAGCACAGAGGAGGTTAGGCAGGACTACATAGTGAGTTCAGGCCCAGGCTCAATTACATAGCAAGACCCTGTCTCATAAAAACCAAAAAAAGGGGAGGAGGCTAGGGATGTGGGTTAGTGGTAGAGTGCATGCTTAGCATACACAAGGCCCTGAGTTCAATCCCCAGTGCTAAAGAAAAAGAAACTTACGCGTTCCTTGAAAAGTTATGCAGTCTGTAGGCATGGGATTTGGCCAAAAAAAAAAAAGTAAAGCAAGACAGGTAAACCCGTCTTTCTAGTGGGCATGTTCCATAAGGGAGATTCTGTGGCAGAGAACAGCAAGCAAGATTTTCACAAGCTTCATAGGACAGACTTGGTGACTAAAACATACACAGTTGTGTTTTGATTATAAACCATATAATCTGAAGAAGACTAAGTCTAGTGATCCTATAATTAACATTTTGGTGAATGTCCTTTTAGGGTTTTTTTTCTATGTGCTTGTGCATGTTTAAATCATGGTATGTCTGTTTAAACAAGATAGTAAATGCATATACTGTTTTGTAATTTGCCTTGTCATTTATTTTGAGTACTTTTCTTGGTACTGGGGTTCAAACTCAGGACTTTGCGCTTTCAAGTCAGGCACAGTGCTACTGAGCTGCATCGCCAGCCCTATTATGAGTACTTTTCGTGTCAACCAGTACAGAGCTGCATTCATTTGTAAGTGCCACATAGGATGATTCCCTGAGTGAGAATGTCATAATTTAACCTCCGGTGAAGTTATTTCCTGTTTCTTCATTATTGTAAGCAGTCCCGCAACAAGCATCCTTCTAAATACATCTTTATATATTTACTGCATATGAGGCCCTGGGTTCAGAGGTATAATTACATCTATATATACTTGAACTGTTACCTCCTTAGGAAAAGCTCTTTGGAAATGCTCGGTCACTGTAGGCTCTGTGTGGCTCTTGATGCTGTCAGAAAGCCTTCCTCACAGGTTGTACTGACTCGTGTATATGTAGCTACTCTTCTGCCATCTCCCCAGGCTGAGAGCCTCTTGGGTCTCCAGAGCAGAATTGCTGTCATAAACCTTGGGTCTTCCTGTGACCAGAGAGCAGTACTGGCAGTCTGAGTCCAGGGACCTTGGCCCAAGGGTGAGGTGTGGCCATCACCCCAGCTAGATGTTTGTCTTCTGTTCTTGGCCCCTGCTGGTGGCCTGTAAATCTAGAGAGTTTGTGTGCAGCTTTGGTTTCCCATGCTGCCTCTGAGCCTTCTGAAATCACTTCACACCCACGAGGGTGTAAAAGTTCCTTGCCAGGGATACCTGTTGGGACCCTAGAAATGGTACCACTGCCCCTCATTCTCCTAAAGTCCCCCAGTTTCTCTTCCAGTCCTGCTTCCTTGCCTGAGGCAGCACCACTAATCACTAATAGAGGGGTCATGGTAAGGAAGTCAGCTCAGAGGATGTATACTTGTCTCGAGGACACTTGCAATCTGAGAGGAGCTGAATTAGGAAGATAAACTGTTCTGAGATTGAGATGCGAAGTACTGCAGACCTCCAGAGGAAGGGGAGATGTTTCCAGAGAGCTGCAGGCAGGGTGGGGGAGCATCCTTAGAGCAGATGGCCCTCGGTTGGGGCTTGAAGGTTGGGTGGAATTGCAGCAGGAGCTGTAGAGGGGTGAGGAGGGACCAAGAGGCAAGAATAGAAGCTATACAGAGAGGCTGGCCCAAAGGCAACAGCTGTTCTTCCCCAAACTGCCTACTGTGGTCGGTCTCCTGGCTCTGACCACTTTCCTTGCATTAGTACTCTTTATTTTATTTTTTATTGATTGATGTTTTTGGTACCAGGGATTGAACCTCAGGTCCTTTAGCCCCCATCTGGAGAGCAGGTGTGAACATCTCTTTCCCCTCCCACTTACACAGAGGCCAAAGGTCAGCTGCTGTTTAGCACTGTTGAGAAGAGGGAACTACTTTTTTTTTGGACTGGGGATCGAACTCAGGACCTTTCGGTTGTGAGGCAGGCAGCAGAACCACTGAGCTAAATCCTCGGCCCTCTCTGACCACTTTCTAACTAGGCCAAGCTGGGTCTGAACCAGAACCACGGAGCTCTCTGGCCATTGATGTTCCAGTTTGGGCAACAAAGAATTTCCGGCCCCTTCATGGGTACAGTAGGGCTTCGACTGCAGCTGAGCCCCTACGTCCACCTGGCCAGAGGGCTCGCCTGCTAAGACCAGGTGCCAGGGCCCCAGTGGCCCCAGTTGACAGTGCTCTCTGCTGGCTGGCACAGGGCTCCTGGTGCTGAAGGACCTGGGCATCCAGGTGGACCGCTACATTGCCTCAGAGGTGTGTGAAGACTCCATTACAGTGGGCATGGTGCGGCACCAGGGGAAGATCATGTACGTCGGGGACGTCCGCAGCGTCACGCAGAAGCACGTATGTCAATGCTGTGGGATGCACCTTGCCTTCTCTTCCCCTGCACACAGCTCCTGAGGCCGCCCATGCTCCTTTCCATTCTGTTTGTCTGCCCTTCTACTCATCCCCTGCCCTCAGGTTCTCTCTCCTTACCTTCCATCTATTTTTCTTCTTTGGCTTGGGAGGGTCGTGGGCAGATTAAAAATGGGAATCCCATTTTCCCAGCCACTTGGGAGACTGAGACAGGGAGATTGCTGCTACTTTAAGGCCAGCCTGGGCAATTTAGCAAGATCCTCTCAAGAACAACTGGGGATATAGCTCAGTGATAGAGTCCCCTTGGGCTTGAGCCCTGGTGCCATGAAGGGGCTGGGGGGGTACCTTAGCAGTGGAGCACTTACATTGCAGTTGTGAGGCCATGGTTTTGATCCCCAGTACTGCCAAAAGAGATTAGGGGAATTGCATTTTGGCTCTCCATCTGCTCTCTGGGCTGGTTTCAGTGCCCTTTATGACACAGTGCTTTGGATTGGAAAGGTTCCTGTACTCCTGACGCTCCTAATACTTCCGGCAAATGGCTTTATGGCTTACCCGCCACTGTTTAGGGGCCTCCAGCAGCATCTTCCTCAGGCCCTCTGCCCTTCTTGAGTCCTGAGGACACTCACATGGCCCAGATGCCCCGCCCGTAGTGCTCAGTGTGAGGACCCACCTGGAGCACTTCCCACCCAGTCCCTGCTGCTCCTGCTTGGCTCACCCTGGGCTCCCTGCTGGCCTCAGGCACGGTCTAGTTTGTGCTTCCTCCCTGTCCAGGACCTGGGTCCAGAGAGCCTCCATGGCTTTGCCACGTTCACAGCTCAGTTCTTCCTCTCTGCCTCTGTCCCTGGACAGCAGGCCTGTCATAGTACCTTTATCCTCCCAGATCCAGGAGTGGGGCCCATTCGATCTGGTGATTGGGGGCAGTCCCTGCAATGACCTCTCCATCGTCAACCCTGCCCGAAAGGGACTCTACGGTAGGTCCTGTCCTCACCCTCTGCCCCTTGCAATGGTGCTTCAGCACTTAGGTTTTCTCCTTGGGTGTCATTCTGCCCTGGGACAGCTGCTCTCGTGACCTTACCTTCCCCCATACCACTGTCTGATGCAGACAGCCCCAGCTGATGATTTCCTCTTCTGACCTCTCAGAGGGCACTGGCCGGCTGTTCTTTGAGTTCTACCGCCTCCTGCATGATGCGCGGCCCAAGGAGGGAGATGACCGCCCCTTCTTCTGGCTCTTTGAGAATGTGGTGGCCATGGGCGTTAGTGACAAGAGGGACATCTCACGATTTCTCGAGGTATAGCCAGCAACCTTGGATTGCCCAGCCAGCTCACTAATGGCTTCTATCTTGGATTTCTGCTTCCTTCCTGTCTCATCCGCATTGTGGAGCTGGGGACTGGGAACTTCTGCTTTGAAAGGAGACTGTGGGCTGCTCAGGGCTTCCTAAGTACAACAGGAGGAGCTAGTGTTAGAGGCCGCCAGAAGGAGCATGTGTTGTCCTCTGATGTAGTACTGAGTGTTGACCTCATGATGAAGGACCCAACTGTCTTTAATTAGTGTGAGGTAGCAGGCGCTTTGGGAGGGGGATTCTCAGCTGTTATACTGGGCGCACCTTTAGGATACCACATTCAATTTTCTCTGACCCGACCGCCCGTCATCATTCCCTGGCTTTATGGCTGGCACCTGGAAGCAGACACCCTTATCACAATTTATACCCTGTGACTATCCTGTGACCTGAGTCCCGGTTCACTTCTTAGTCGTTTGTGAGGCATGCTGCCAGAGTCATTCTTGGATGGGCCACTGGCTCTTAGGCTGAATAACACCTCAGGCTTGTCGTGTGACTTTAAATGTGAATGGGCATCTGTTTGGCTTATAATCTGGACACCATGCACACACCCAGGCTTGTGGGCGCCTGCTCTGTCTGAAGAGTCTGGATGGTCTGAGACACCTTGTCCAGTATGGTAGCCATTGGCCACGTGTGTCTATTAACATGAAAAATCCCATTCCTCAGTCCCACTGGCCTTGTTTCAAATACAGACTGGTAGACTAGTGGCTATAGCAAGGAGCAGTGCCCACGGGCAAGAATTCCGAAGCTGATTGGGACAAGCTGGTCTGGAATGTTCTGGTGAGAGCATCCAGAATGTGGCAAGGTTTGGGGTTTGTGTGTGAGGCTAGGGTTAATTCCAGCTTTTCCCAGGGGCTTCAGGCTACCACGGTTTGTGACTACTTGAGAAAGAAATGTGAGCCTTTGAGGGCTTTGGGCTCTCATGCAGCAGAATCACCCAGCACTAGTTAATGTTCATCTTTAAACTCTCCTGTTTCACAGTCCAACCCTGTGATGATTGATGCCAAAGAAGTGTCAGCTGCACACAGGGCCCGCTACTTCTGGGGTAACCTTCCCGGTATGAACAGGTTGGTGAGAGCGCCAGGGCCAGGGGGTGGGTGCCGTGGTGGTGTCTACAGACGGGATGGCCCAGGGAGGGGGACACTGAGGGCACCCTCCGGGCTGGCCTCCTTTGCTCGGTGCCTGCTGCTCTGCTGTGTTTTTTTATTCCTTGAGAAGGGAGAGTCGGTATAGAAAATATTTGCCTCAAGAAGCCAGTGATTGGTGGTCTAAACAGGACTTTGAACGTTGCATTCTTAGCTGGGCACAGAGGTGCACACAGGTAATCCCAGCTTCGTGGGAGGCTGAAGTGGGAAGAGCGCAGGTTTGAGGCCTGCAGGGCACCTTAGTGAGTGCTGGAGCGCTGACCTATGCAGGAGGCCCGGGGTTCATCTCTAGAAACACAGAAAAGCAAAGTGCATTTTTTTTTTTTTTTTTTTTCCGCGAAAGAAGCCTGTGCTCTGGAGTTAGACCTTTCTCCCCGCCTCACTCAGTGTGTCCAGGGCCAGCCTGTCCTTAGGCGCTCTTGAGAGAATGCCTGTGGGAAGGGATGGCGAGGGGAGGATGTGGCACCCAGGAGAGGGAATCTGAAGCGGCAGCATCTAAGTTTGAGGGTTCTGCTGGTTTTCTTTCACACTGCTGGCTTTGTGTCCTCTGTTGGAAGGGAAGGATTTTCCTCATTCAGATTATACGGGTAAAGGTCTTAATATCCAGGACTAAGGAAAATTTCATTCCTTTGGGTGTAATAATTGCATCATAGAAAGGCCTTTGGAGACAGGAATTGTTCTGGAGTTGCAGTTAGAAAGCAGAGAGAGTGCCACCTGGTCTGGAGACTCATTATGGAGCATTGTGTTTCCCAACACATATTGAGTCATAGATTTTAAACCTCCTTGGCATACCTGTAAATGGAAAGCCCCACTTAACTTGTTTTCAGTCAGCTCCTCCCTGCTGCTCACGAGAGCTTGGAGGGCCTTTCCCATCACATACCTTTTGGCAGAGACCTGTCTTTTACAAGAGCTTGGTGGTGGGAAGGAGATGCTGCTGCTTGGTCCCATGTTTCTGTGGAACTACTGGTTTCCTGTCCCCGACAGACCGCGGTCCAGTAGGATTATTGCCACCCACTTCTTCCAACCCTAGAATATAAGGGTTCTGAAGTTCTAGAAATAGCAGAGGGACCATGTGGCGCCAACCAGGCTGTGCGTGCAAGTAGACAGCAGACAAGGAGGCTGGCCCCGGTCCCCACGCTGAGATCAAGAGTGCCTTAGGGACCCTCATTCAGCACTCCTAATGTCACAGCAGGCCGATGGGCGTTGCTTGTCTGGCTGCCCCAAGGAGTGTCGCAGAATTTTAGTCGTTGGGGACTTTGCAGAACTTGTCTTTGACTGTATGTTTAAAGTGTGCACACCATGAACCATCAGTATCCATCAGGATTCAGCCATGTGTGGTGGCACACGCCTCTGATCCCACCACTCACTGAGGCAGGAGGATTGCCGAGAGTTCCAAGCCAGCCTCAGAATAACTCAAGACAGAGAACATTCTCTCACCCCTAAAGCTTGCTTTATTGTGAGACAAAACAGCATATCTAAAAATAATCAATTTTAAAAAAATTGTGCTCTTGCCTGGTGTGGGGTTCCCAGCACTGGGGGCAGGACAGGAGGGTTGTGAGTTCCAGGCCAGCTGGACTAGATAATGAGACCTTGTCCCAGAGTTTACAGACAGAATGGGGCTTTTTCTCCCCATTCGGGGCAGCCTGTCTGCCTCTTGGTAGTTTGAGACCACTTTTGGGTTGTAACCTCTGCTGTCCTCGTGAGTCGGGGCTGCTGCAGGTGAGCACCCTTGCCGGGGACCTTCCTGCTGTCCCCCGGGTTTCTGCTGTCATGACCTCTCCTCTACCTTTTAGGCCACTGGCATCCACTGTGAACGATAAGCTGGAGCTGCAGGAGTGTCTGGAACATGGCAGAATAGCCAAGGTCAGCCCCACACTAGGACCTTTGCTGGGGCGGGATGAGGTGGAGCGATGCCAGGGCGTCGTCCTGGTCCTGCCTGCACCTCGGGGCCTCGGGCGGAGACAGGTGGCCAGTTGGCTGGGGTGGTCCAGGGCCTTCAGGGCTTCCTCCCTCCCTCGGGAGGTAGGTGCAGAGGAGTCTTTAACACAGTTCTGGGTCGTGCTGTGGCCTTTAAAACATGTTTTTGACCAAGGCTCACTGTAGGGGTCATCAGAGCAGGGGGTCTCCTAGAATGTGGGTTTCTCTCTGGAGAAATCTGCTGTGAGTGCAAAGGGCGTTAGGCTCTGCCCACAGGCGCCAGGACTCGGGACCGTGGACCTGCAGTGCATCTGGGAGCCTCAGAGGACTTAGGAAGGGTAGTGGCCAGAGCTGCCGCCTCAAGTCTGGCTAGCTGGACTGGGCCGAGGGGGGCCGGGTGGCCTCGGTGGGGAAGGAGAAGCAGGACTGCAGGGACGGGGCTCACGCCTGTGAACCCACTCTGCCCCACCCCGCCCCGCCAGGTGTGTGCTCATCCCCCTTTTCTCCTCTACATCTTCTAGTTCAGCAAAGTGAGGACCATTACTACCAGGTCAAACTCCATAAAGCAGGGCAAAGACCAGCATTTCCCCGTCTTCATGAATGAGAAAGAGGACATCTTATGGTGCACTGAAATGGAAAGGTACCCGCATCTCCTCGGGTCATCTGTGCCCTGTGTTCTGACTGCTGTGCTTTCCAGGGGTGTGGTCAGGCTTCCTTTCTTGCCCGCCAGGCTTGTTTTCTACAAGTCCTGTGAGGGGCTTTTCCCGAGCCTTGCCCAGCATGGCAGGGCTGGGGGAGGATTGTTGCACATGTTACAGCTGGTCCTAAATCGAGGGTGTAGGAACACTTTTCTGGTGCCTGGGCTCCCAAGGCTTCCCTGACGGGTGCTGCAGTGTTTAGGAGATGGGGCAGTGCAGCGCCCAGGGTGTGGGTGGACCACTCAGCCCCTGAACCCTCATTTGGTGCAAGTTGGACTCAGGGCTGGTTCAGCTCCTGGTTCTTCTAGAACTAGGGTTTAGCAGACAAAAAGACCATTTACACAAGCAACCAGAGCAAACAGGAAATCCTTGAACTTGGAGCTCCTCTCCTCCAAATGTGCACGTTTTGTATTCGGACTCAAGCTGTCCATCGTGGATGTGGACCTCGCTTGCAGGAGAATTGTAGAGCTTGCCAGGGAGGCATTTTAGGCCTTTTTACAAATGCTGGCTTTGTTTCTGCCCTGTGTGAGTCTTGGGGCAGGAATGATGTTAACTACCTTTGGGTCCACAGAGGCCAGCAGACAGCCTGGACGCCAGCAGTGGTCCAGGCGAGTGCGGAGTGTGGAGGGCAGAGGCCTTGGATGGAGCGGGGCCTCAGGGGTGCGGGTGTGAGAGGTGCTTGACGCCCCGGTCGCCCGCTCCTGCCCTGTGATCAGCAGGCTTCCGGGCACCTGCACTCACCCTGGCCTCTCCGCTCTTCTCCCCAGGGTGTTTGGCTTCCCTGTCCACTATACCGACGTCTCCAACATGAGCCGCTTGGCGAGGCAGAGACTGCTGGGCCGGTCCTGGAGCGTGCCAGTCATCCGTCACCTCTTCGCTCCGCTGAAGGAATATTTTGCTTGTGTGTAAGGGACATGGGGGCAAACTGAGGTAGTGACACAAAGTTAAACAAAAAACACAAACACAATAAAACACCAAGAACATGAGGATGAAGAGAAGTATCAGCACCCAGAAGAGAAAAAGGAATTTAAAACAAAAACCACAGAGGCGGAAATACCGGAGGGCTTTGCCTTGTGAAAAGGGTTGGACGTCATCTCCTGATTTTTCAATGTCAATCTTCAGTCCTATTTAAAAAACAAAACCAAGCCCCCTCCCTACTCCCCCCCTTTTTGGGTCAAACCTTTTGTTTTCTACTCTTTCAGAGGGGTTTTCTGTTTGTTTGGGTTTTTGTTTCTTGCTGTGACTGAAACAAGAGTTAATGCAGCAAAAATCAGTAACAAACAATAGTGATACCTAGCAGAGGAGAGGCCAGAGAGATGGAAAAGGAAACTCTATAGAAATCTATATATTGGGTATTTTTCTTTTTACTATATATCTTTTTGTTGTTGTTGTCTCTAGCCTGATCAGATAGGAGCACAAGCAGGGGCAGAAAGTCAGACACTCGCTCGGTGGCCGCCCCCCACCCCGCCCAGCCTCCGAGCCGTCTTACCAGCACCATTCCTGGTCATACAGACAGAGCCCAACTAGCAGCAGGGAGGCGAGCTTTCCACACAGATACTTTTCTACAGCATTTCAGGTGCCTACCACACAGGAAACCTTGAAGAAAACCAGTTTCTAGAAGCCGCTGTTACCTCTTGTTTACAGTTTATATATATATATGATAGATATGAGATATATATATAAAAGGTACTGTTAACTACTGTACAACCTGACTTCATAATGGTGCTTTAAAACAGCGAGATGAGTAAAAACATCAGCTTCCACCTGGCCTTATGTGCAAAGGGTTTTAACCAAGGATGGGAAAAGGGATTCAGCTCGGAGATGCCGTGCTGTCTGGTGGGGTTTCCCCCTTGGTTCTTAATAAGCTGCAAGAGGGGAGCTGGGGAGCTGAGCGTGGAGCTCATCTGGGTTCATGCAGTAACCTTTGAAATCTCTTGAAAACGGAGACTCCCTTGGCAAGATGCAGGGTAAGGAGACTTCATTCCCGATCTCTCCTGTTAGCAGAGTCGAGGGCTCCTTGTGGTGGGATCAGAAATAATCCAGAGTGTGGGAAAGTGACAGTTACAAACCCCACCTGGAGCAAATAAAAAAACATACAAAACGTACTGGTGCTTTCCTGTCTAAGTCGCCTTTTGTGTGTTCTTTTATGAGGCCCCACGATCCTCCCCTCTGTGCACAAGGCGGCTCTGGGCCCCTGGAATGTGATGTTTTTGGTCATCTCCAAAGGCTGCAGTTTTATACTGGGAGGCTGATGACACCTTTTATTATCATTATTCGTAGGGTTCTGGTTATAATTGTTTGTTTTGAGATTTTCTTTCAGAAAACAAAAGCCCTTTAGGTTTCAAACCAAGGTGCGGAGAGCAGGGTGCTTCTAAGGCAGCAGTGGCTCTGGTGCCCTGGCTTCTCCCCTCGGGCCAGGTGGGCCACTGGGTGGCGCAGAGACAAGTTGGGTGGCCAGGGAGCCCCTCTTCTCTTCTTCTTCCCCTCCTCGTGATCAGGTGTGTCAGGGCCGGGGAGGGGCTGGGGCAGCCCCTCTCCTTGTGTGTGTGGCTGGAGTGCTGTGTGTCTATTTTCTAGTGTTCGGTCTGATGATAGCTGTGCTCTTCCTCGAGTCGGCAGCACCTAGGCCCCACGTGCTCGCACTTTGTTCTGCCTCCCACCAGGGCTGGCAGCCCGGCAGCCCTGCACTGGCGGTGAGGTGATGGCACTGTTGGCTCGGGGCTGAGAGCCCGACGGGCAGAGCTTGCCCGGGTGGATGGGGTGTAGATATGTGGCATATAGAGATATATATTTTATAATGGGAGGGGGGGCGGCACCTCCTGGGACCGGCAGAACTGGGAGGTGTGCCATCAAGCACATGGTCCCAAGTCCGCATCCCTAGAAAGATGGGGCCTACGATAGGCGCTATATAAATCCGTAGTTAGGGTCATGTATAAGAAATATTACACGGTGGGCTGGGGGGGGCCGGGCTCAGTGCTGAGCCCGGGTCCCCGCCGCAGACAGAGCCCCACACCAGTCAGTTCTCACATGCACAGAAACCCGCTTCTGTTTGGACGCATAGCGAGTGCACTCACACACCAGGGAGCCCCGGCTCCTCTCCCCAGATTCAGGACTTTGTGGAGTCAGCCCGAGCAGCTCTTTACCTCTGTTGCCCTGATTGCAGGCAGGCTGTCGATCTCAGAAGTTGCTAGGTGCTGAAGGCAGGACGAGGAGGTTTGATGGAGCAGGTGCTTCCTCTAGCAGGTCGTGTTCTAAGCCCCTTTCCCCCTGGTGATGTCAAAGATTCTTCTGTTAGCAACCTGTGATTCCGACCTGCAACTTTAGGCACCAGTAAAGTCAGCCCTCCGCTCCCCCTACCTATTCACCCAACCAAAATCAAATTGACATCTCTGTCTGTCTTGGTTATGGGGCTTCCATTGGGAAAGAAAAAAGGCAAAACTGGGACTAAAGCTAACCTTTTGAATAAAGCAAATCAGTAATTAGTAACAAAACTAAACCGAGGCTTTGAACCCCTTGCTCATTGCTCAGAAGTAAGTGCACAGCTGGTGGCTTGTCTTGTTCCTTTTTGGGGCGTGTAGTCCTGGCCCCACTCTGCCGGCTTCCTTCATGGGCGGAGTTGAAGGTCACACCCGCTTGCTCCCTGGCACTTTCCTGATGTGGCAGGTGGTGGCTAGATGCCCGGGACTGGAGCAACTAGAAGAGGGGAGACCCCACCCCCACCCCCATGCTAAATGTGTTGGCCCGTCCCCTCCTTGCCCGAGCAGAGCTTTATTCTCGCCTGGAGTCCACCAGCACCGGTCCAGGAGGGCTGCGGGGAGGACGGCTGCTTCTGGCAGTCCAAGGTGCTCCCTCCCCCGCTGGCCAGCGCCGAGGTCTTCCCGGCTCGCAGCCGCAGGACAGTCTGGGCCACCACCTCCTAGTACTATGGCTCTCCCAAGCTCTGTCCCCGGCTTATGTGAAGGAGTTAGCTTTTCCCGATGGCCCTAGCACCACCTTAGCTGGGCCTGGTGCTTCCCCCAGGGCTTGGTGCAGGGCCTGGGGAAGGCCTGTGGTTGCCAAGGGTGTGACAAGCCCAGCGCAGGCTGGCCAGCTTGCTCCGAGAGTGGATGCTGGGCCCAGAGGCGGCCTTGTGGCTGGCTACCTAGCACCTGTTCCCCTCACTGTGGTGACCCCCAGAATGGGTCCCATATAGGGACAGAAGCTAATCACCAGCTTTTCTTCAGGCCGACCTGTGGGCTTGCTCTCACAGTTAAACTTGCTAGGATGTAGAGGACTCTAGGGCTGCTGCGCCATCTTGGCCAAGCTGGGTTGCTCTTCCTCCACCTCCACCGCTGTGGGGCGACTCCTGGGGACAGGTCTGGGGTGCCTTCTAAAGGGGAGCTCTGCCTCATTAGCTGAGGTAAGGTCATGGGAGCAGTAGGCAGGGATTGCTGGGCTTGCTATAGATGAGGCCAACAGTAGAGGCAGTGGAGTGGGGAAAACCAAGAAAGTCAGTAGAGTCCTGGAGCATTCCCTGTGGGTTTCCTTTCCAGAGAGGAGGTCTGTTTTGCCCTGGGGACCAAGGGTGACATTTCCCTCCTGCAGGTGCCAAGTGGAACATGGTGCCAAAGAGACCCACGGTCCTTGCCTGGGGGAGGCAGCTGGTGCTAGTGCCAGGGTCCCAGAGCCCCAGAGCCTTGGCCTCCTGCCGGAGGTGCTCACTCGATCCCAGCAGGGTGTCAGGCTGGCTGGTGCTAACCCCTTCCCCGTGGGACCAACTGGCAAACTGTGCTTGGGGCCAGCAGGTGAGGGTCAGGGGTCTTACATCTGCTGTCTGTCTTTCTAGACCCCAGAGCCTCCCTGCTAGTGAACATCCTATCAGAAAGCAGACTTCCCCAAAAAGCTCCTAGGACTTCTTAGCTTTCCGACAGGCCTGGGCGTGCTCGGCAGGCAGAGGCCCGTGTAGTTTTCTTGAGTGGCCGGCCAGGGTGTGGCCCAGACAGGCAAGCTCGGTGTGAAGGAGGGCAAGGCTGCCCAGCCTGCAGCCCAGGATGCTCCAGTCACTCACTGCCTCCAGCAGCTGTGGAAGCAATGAAGCTGAGCCATCTGGGAGATGCTCTTCCAGGAAAAGCAGTCACTAGTTTTCCTGTTGTTGATTGTAGAAGTGTGCGCAGAGTGGGTCTTGACTTCCTGTTGCCGTTGTGCATGGTGCAGCGTTGTGCTGCTAGTATCTTTCGGAGCTGACCTTTCCTGGGAGCCTGCTAGCTGGGGCGTGCCCTGAAGAGGGCTGCTGGCTCGGTTTAGTCAGGGGACAGCAGAGCCACCCTGCCAGGGAGCTGAGTTTGTCATCAGATCTTGCTCTAGTCTGCCTGTGCCCAGTGCCATGTCTAGAGCCCCCAGTTGTCCCCCTGGCAGGAAGCGCTGAACCCCCTGCCCCCAGCCTAGAGAAGGTATTACAAAGAGATGCCTCGAAGGGGCAGTGGCCCTTCTGGCCACTCAGGCGGCCAGGGGTTAACTTCAAGTCGCAGCAGCCTCCTGGCCAGGCCTTGTGCTGGGGTCGGGAAGGGCATAGGTGGATTGGAAGGATGAACTCCACTGTTGCAGGGTGTGCTTTCGACCTTTATGTTTTGGTAAAGGAAGGCTTTGGTCTTTGGAGGTGAGGAGCTCATACCTGCTGCATTCAGAGACCCAGATTAAGGTGGCCCTCTGGTTGGGGACCTGTCTCTGGCCCCAGGCAGTGGTGTCGTGGCCGGTGAACGCAGGGAGGAGAACGGTGGAAGGCCCTGCGCTCGTGGGGACTTGCTAACTTCCGGAGGGGCCCCTGGACTCAAACTCCGGTAACTGGAAAACTCCCAGATTTGCTCCTCCAAACCCCAGCTGGCAGCCTCAGCCTGTGCCTGACGACATGAGCAGCGGTCTAAAGCGTCACTGTAGTCCCATTTCATTTACAGACCGATTTGGTTGCAAAGCCCTAGAATTCAACAGACAACAAAAATGCTGAAATTCCTTAGAATACGCAGAGGGAGGAGGTGACTCAACAAGGTGCTAAAACATTTTATTAAAAATATATATTGTTAAATTAAGTCTGCTGTCTGGACAATGACTGTTTGTTTTGTTTTCTTGTAGTGGAGTTTAAAAGAGACTATTATTTTACTCTGATATATTATTATTAAAAAGGCATTTTAACTTTGTACTTGAAAACTAAGTGAGCGATTTCACGTGTTTTAGCTGAGGCATTGAAGTAGCGGGTGCTTACTTATTTGTGGGAAATCATGTATTCATACTGAAGAATAAACTCCGTAGCTGATTTGGTAATAACTTTACTGTTACAGACGATTTCGCTTTGACCCGGGTGGCAGAGCACTTTTACTCCACATTCCACGCAGCTAAACGCAGGACCTCCCGGACTTCCCTCCCCAGCCCTTTTTCCTTTCTCTTAAGTTCCTGTTGCCTTTTTTTTTTCTTCTTCTTCTTCTTCTTCTTCTCCTCCTCCTCCTTTTTGTTTGTTTTTCCTGGTTCCAGCATCCTTTCACCACTGTATTTTTTTTTTTAGGGTTGCTTCTCTATTTATTGACAATAATAATGTACATTTCACAGTCTGGTTTCGGGGACACCCAGGACCGTGCGTGGGGCTCCACATGGCCCTGCCATGCCCGCCTGGTGTTCTTTTGTATCTCTGTGTACGTGATGCTCGTGACATAGCTGTTTATGAAATAATTAAAGAGGTCAATGCATACAGCAGATGTAGAAAGTCTGTCAGTTCCGCCTTCATCACATTTTTTTTTGTGCCCAGAAGAATATAATAAAGCTCCTTTCTAATGTACTTGTGCTGGAGAACACTTGAATAAATGGACTGTTTTTGTGCAAAAAGAAAAACGGAAAAAGCACCTTAATAATGTCCTTTTGTCTTGCGTCTCATTTGCCCTGACACGACTGTTCGCAGCCCTTCTGCAGAAGGCTGAAGTACCTCGGTGGGGAGGAGCTGGGCTCAGGCTCGGGCTCGGGCTTGGGCTCAGGCTCCGGCTCGACAGGGCTGCCTGTCAGCCGTCAGCCCTGTGGTTGCCCAGCAGAGAGATTCTGGCTGACAGTGAGTCCAGGTCGATGGGCAGACAAGTGTGGCGCCAGTTGGAGCAGTAAAGCCGCCCTGCAGTGGGACTGGCCAGGGAGGACGCACGGTCTGGGGGGAGCGACCCGGAGGAACCAAGCCAAGTGTGCTATGGGAAGCTAGAGTCGGGAGGAGATCCTTGCAGATGCTGCCGAGCACCTGAAGGGCCTGGACCGTCCCGGGTGAGTCGTGGGGAGGCTGCTGGCCACTTCCTACCCCCGGCCGAGGCAGGGCCCGAGGTGGGGCCCGCGCAGTCTACGGTCCTCGATCTCAGTCTGCTCGGTCATCCCGGTGGGTCGGGCCTCACGCACCTCTGACCCTTTGTTCTCGTGACTGCTTAACAGTCCCCGACTTCCTGTCCCTACCCATGTAGATGCCACACTCCTGAGGCCCTCGGCTTCTGCTCCTAGAGCAGGGTTGCTTGAGGGTTCTTTCCTACCCAGCCTGGCCTGGAGGTTTAGGACGTCACTACCCGTGGCAGTGTTCAAAAATGTGATAAAGGGGTGTGGAGGTGCACCCCTGTAATCTCAGCACTGGGAGGCTGAGCCGGGAGGAGACATGCAAGTTCAAGGCCAGCCTGGGCTACACTGCGAGACTCTTGTCTCAAAACACAAAAAAAAGTGATAAAGGGAAAGTTGGAGAGAAAGGGGAAAACATAACTAGATTAAGACTTCTTCGTGGATGCTTTTTCTTTCCTTCTCCTTTTCTTTTTTCTCCCCCTCAAAGTTGTAAGTATATGTTTAACTTTTACCCTGCCTTTTTCTCAGTATTTTTCACTGTTGATGTAGAATCTTTTTTTTTCAAATAGCTGCATGACATTTTCTTGTTGAATGTTTGTTACTATATATACATTTATTTCAGCTATAAATGGAGCTTCAATAAACATTTTTATGTTTTTGGCTTTTCCCCCTACATTTTTTTTTTTCTTGAAATAGATTCACGGAAATGAGACTAATTGTTGGAAAATAGATGGCTGTGGAGTTGGTTCCTGCCATTGGCCTGATCTCTTCCCCGAAACTGACAGGCAGGTAATGCACCTTCCACGCTGGGCTTCTCCGCTCAGAAAGAAGGAGCCTCGGGCTGGGGATTTAGCTCAGTGGTTCCGCCATCTGCCTCGAAAGCGCAAGGACCTGAGTTCGATCCCCAGTACCAAAAAAAAAACCACACAAAGAAAGAAGGAGCCCTGTCCTGAGCTTCCCGCCCAGGAACGCTCTGAGGCTGACGACCAGGGTCAACAGCTGCTGAGAGCCTCACACCGCCCTCACAGCCACGGACAGGGGCAGCAGAAAGGGCCTGCCACAGGACGTGTCACTCTTCCCAGCGACCTCGGCACCTCTCAGGGCCCCATGCAGGTTTCTCATGTGTCCCAGAGGGGACAGACCATACGCAACTGGCCGCACATGTGCTGGCCCCACGGGGAGGACTCAGAAGCTCCAAGCAAGGCGTAGAAGGATTAGTTGGTCCCCTGAGTGTGCAGATGTGTTTGCCTGCAGGAATTCTGGGAGGGACCGAATCTCAGAGATTGGCTCCAAGGTTGAAGAGAGGTGGGAAGGCAGGAGGGCTCTTAGCTCTGAAAGCCATGCCTGAGCACCCAGGCACTGGAGAACTGGCAGGAGGGAAGGAGCTGCCCGGCCATTTGGCTAAGAAAAACCATCCTGTAAAGAAAACATTTATATACAGTGGAGTGCTACTCTGCCATGAAGAAGGTTAAACTTGGGTCATTTGTAGGAAAACGGATGTACCTCGAGACCACAATCTTAAGTGAAATAAATGAGATGCACAAGTTTAAATACTGCATTGTTTCTCAGTGGAGGATAGATATTGGGAAATAGGAAAACATGTTCAAGTGAAAAAGGAAACAAGGGAGGCGGAGAGAAAGCGAAGGAAGGGAAAAGGAAAAAAAAAAGTGCTTGTAAATGGAGAGGGGAAGAAGGGTTGAAGAGAGGGGAGGGGAATGGGAAGAAAATTAAGATCTGTACAGCTACAAATTCCCTATGATGAATGTGATCAATGTGTATGACAAATATGTAGTAATAAAAAATAAATTTAAAATAAATAACCATCCTGGGTCTGGGAGGCTGAGGCAGGAGGATCAGAAGTTTGAGCCCAGCCTAGCAACTTCGTCCCTGTCTCAAAAACTGAAAAGAGCTGGGGGATGTAGCTTAGTGCAAAGGGCCTGGGTTCCCTCCCCAGGTCCTCAAACAAACAAATCACCCTCCCTGAAAACCAACCTGAGAAACTTGTTTAACTGGGGTGCCCGTGCTCTCGGGACAGCCTCAACATTGAGGACAGTGAACTCCGAGCTTCAAAAGACTAAATCAATGTAACAGGCCTTTTTTTTTGAGGTACTGGGGAGTTAACCCAGGGCCTTCACAGCCCTGTTTATTATTTGTTTAGAGACAATGTCTTGCTAAGCTGTCCAGGTGGGACTTGAACTTCCAATCCTCCTGTCTCAGCCTCCCAGGGTGCTGGGATTACAGGTGTGCACCACCACGCTGGGTACACAACTTTTTTTCCTTAGCCTAAAATTATTAAAATTAGCCTTGCCTTTTTTCTTCTCTCTTTTTTTAAGAGATGGGGTCTCACTATGTTGCTCAGGCTTATCTCATATGTCTGGGCTCAATAGTTACACCAATTGTTAAATTACACACACACACACACACAAATTACATACACACACACGGAAAAAGTAAAGTTCATAATCCTACTTCCCAAAGATAATGACTGTTGGAATTTCTCTATTTTTATTTTCACATTAAATACCTGAGTGTATGAAAAATAAAAAAACTAAAATCATATTATTCATTAATATTTTGTTCTTCAATAATGATTACTAACATTTATTGAACACTCACTGTGGGCCAGATATTTTTTTGTGAATATTTTATTGTGAACACTTACTCCATTACTAAATCTTCTTTGACTACATCTTTTAATACATATTTTTTCCCCAGTAAAAGATTTTTAGGAAGTCCAGTGAAACGTTTTTATTTTTGTAGTACTGGGGATTGAAACTGAGCCTTTGAACTGAACCTGACTCTTTTTTATTTTAAGACAGAGTTGGCAGGCTGTGGTGATGTGTGCCTATAGTCCTAGCATTCAGGAGGCAGAGGCAGGAAGACAGCCATGAGTTTGAGGCCAGCTTGGGCTACATAGTGAGACCCTGTCTCAAAAAAAAAGAAAGAAAAGGGCAGGGTCTCACTAGGTTGCCAAGTTGACCGGGCTAAGTTGGACTGAATTTGGAATTCTCCTGCCTCATCTTCCCAGAGTGCTGGAATTATAGGCATGCACCACGACACCCAGCTAAAAGTCTTTTTTTGTTTGTTTTTGGTACCAGGGATTGAATTCGGGACCTTGCGCTTGAGAGGCAGGTGGCAGAACCACTGAGCTAAAATCATTTGTTTGTTGTTTTTTGTTTGTTTTTTGTTTTTTGTTTTTGGTATTAGGGATTGAACATGGGACCTTGCGCTTGCAAGGCAGGCACCGTTAAAAGTCATTTTTAATGGCTGCATACTAACTCCACCCTGTATTCATACTACGGTATAATTTATTTAGTCCATTCTCTGGCTTTGGACATTTTCATTTTCTTGTCTTTTCCTGGAGGGTGCCATCATCAACACTGCTGAAGGGAACACTCTAGCAAGTTCCTTCACTAATCACCATGTATTTTCATAAAAACCAAAATCCCCAGCAGAGGAGAAAGGCCGCAGAGCGGCGCTGTTGGGCCTCGGTGTGGGGCGGGACGGGACGGCCTGGGCCGAAGACGCAGGGCCCGCCGCCACCGCCGCCGCCGCCGCCGCCGCCGGCTGCCCCGCGCACGCGCCGTCCTCCTCGCGATGGTGTCCGCTGGGCGCCGGCCTGGTCCTTCCGGCAGCTCAGGTGTCACCTCAGGTCAGGGCTCGGGAGCCGCGTTAAGAAAGGACAGGTTAGGGGCCGGGGATTTGGCTCAGTGGTTTCGCCACCTGCTGCGCAAGCGCAAGGACCCGAGTTTGATCCCCGGTACCAAAAACAAATAAATAAATAATAAAAAAACAAAAAAAATAAAAAACAAAAAAAAATTTCTTAAAAACCAAAATGGACAGGTCGCCAAGGCCGCGTGCCCTGGTGTACTGGGCCTGGGCGGGACGCGGAGAGGGCGACTTGGGAGGCGCCCGGGCTAGCACGAGAGCTCGCGTGGCCGAAGCCGCAGAGGCCTGGGGACTCAGAGCTGCGGGTGGGGTCTTCATTAAGGCAGGGAGGCAGTGCATCCAAGCAGGACAGAAAGACTGAGTTCGGATCCTAGCTCTTTACTAGCTGTGTGCCAGTCAACCTTGTCCAGGAGTCAGTTTTGCCATCTGTGAAAGGGGAGCAATCAACAACCTTCTTCCCAGGGTTGTTGTCAGAATTCAGATCTCCAAATGAGATGTTCAAAACAATTATAGAAGTACTCAATAGATGGGAGCCTGTAGTCCGGGGGATTGAGTGCCGAGCTTTCGCCCAGAGCTACATCCCCAGGCTTTTTCCCTAGTTTTTATTTTGAGACAGAGTCTCGGTAAGTCACTAAATTGCCCAGGCTGGGCTCAAGGTTGTGACCCTCCTGCCTCAGCCTCCCAGAGTGCTGGGATGACAGGCGTGCACCATTACTCCCGGCTGTGGTGTTAGCCTTTGAGCCAACTGCTGCCACCAGTGCAGGTGCTATACCCCAGGCCCAGCTCTTCCCTCTCCTCGGGCTCCTTGCTCTGCAGAAGCCACCCCATGCCTCCCCTGAGCCCCAGCATGGAGGGTGGGCGGCCCTGGAGG